AAGAGCAAGAGCTGAAAACCCAACCAGTTCGTCTCCCAAAGCCACAGAGGTGTTAAAAAGTTCCTGTCACAGTTCAAGCATCCAGAGCCTGCGAGTAGACCCAGACTCCCACGACTTTTCAATAAGCCGTTTACTGAAAAAATCATAGCTGAAATCAATGACATACTGAGGAACGTCATTACTGGTGAGACGTCACTCCAAGAATTGCATACACTGCACACTGCTTTTCCTAGGAGCTGCGACAGTTCTGTTCCTCAATCACCAGAAAATCGATGGATTACAAGAAGGCAGCGGTCGTGGCTAAAAGAATAGGAAAGCAGCATGGGAAGCCAGGATACAGAGGACAATCAAAGACCTCAGGAAAGACACAGGCATTCTTACCGAGCACTTAAGACCACACCTAAGCCAAAAAGTCGAAAAGATGGGTAAAAAACTTCTTGAAAAGCTCAGGAGCGAGGATAATCTCACGGAAACAGATGTGTTAGATCCTCTAAAACAAAAATTACAAGTTCAAGCAGCGAAGCTAAAGAGGTACCAAAAGAGTAACATGCGCCGGGAACAAATGGGTTATTCAAGAGAAGCCAAAGTGCAATTTACAGAAGTCTGCAGCCTAAAGGAGCAGATGAAAACATAGGGCACGACAAAACGCCTAGCATTGAAATCACCAGGGATTTCTGGCAAGATTTATGGAGCAAACCAGTCAACCACAACAACTACGCAGAGTGGTTGGAGGAAGTTAAGTCCAAAGTTAACATCAAGGATGAAATGACAGAGCAAACGATAAGCGAAGCAGATGTTGAGGAAGCCCTTAAAAAATTGCTGAACTGGAAAGCCCCTGGCCCCGACAAGCTCCAAAATTTCTGGTTGAAATCCTTCAAATCGGCGCACCAGCAACTTGCTCGGTGTTTTGGAAAAACCCTTCAATGCTCGGAAGAGCTGCCAGCATTCCTAACAACTGGAATTACATTCTTAATACCCAAAACGAAGCGGTACTCAGATGACCCTGCAAAGTATCGGCCGATCACCTGTCTTCCCACAGTTTACAAGCTGTTAACGTCTGTAATTTCAGAGAAGATCTACAAACATCTTGAGCAGAATAAGTTACTAGAGGAAGAGCAGAAAGGATGTCGTGAAGGCTCAAGAGGGTGCAAAGAACAACTAACAATTGATGCAGTAATTACTAAGACCGCTATCAACACAAGGGCACCTCTTTTCACAGCCTATATTGATTACCACAAGGCATTTGATAGCATTCCCCACTCCTGGTTGCTAGAGGTCCTCGAAATTTACGGTATCAATCCGAAACTCATACAATTCTTAGCACAAACTATGAGAAGCTGGAAAACCGAGCTCTGTCTAAACACACCCGGCCGACAGCTGAAAATAGGGACGATTGACATCAGGCGCGGCATCTTCCAGGGAGATTCCCTAAGTCCCCTGTGGTTCTGCCTAGCCTTGAGTCCACTGAGAAAGTTGCTTGGCAGTCTGAGGGTGGGGTGCAATTACGGAGATTGCAATATATCACACTTGCGGTACATGGATGATTTGAAATTGTTCTCCAGGCAAAAAGAGAACCTACACTTGATGTTAAATACAGGAGGAGAATTCAGTAGTGACATCCAGATGAAGTTCGGGCTCGATAAGTGTAAAACAAGCAGCATAGTCAAAGATGTTTGGTCAGCTCACGAAGGTTATGAGCCTGCGGGACAAGAAGGGAAAATAAAAGGTATGCTTGAGAATGATCCGTACAAGTACCTGGGGTACTTGCAAGCGAGAGGAATCCAGCATAAAGATGCAAAACAACAAGTCTCTGATGATTATAAGCGAAGACTCAGGTCAATACTAAAATCTGAATTGTCCGCACGTAATACAGCGCTCGCGATCAATACGTATGCTACCTCACTGTTGACCTACACATTTGGCATTCTCAATTGGTCCAAAACTGAGCTCAACGCCCTGGACATTGCAACGAGGAGGGAATTCCGGAAGTATCGTGCCCATCACCCTAGAAATTGTGTTGAAAGGTTCCACTTGCCGCGAGCGGAAGGGGGCAGGGGGATCCCAAGTGCGATGCGCAGACATCATCAGCAAGTTCAAAATCTAAGGAAGTACTTTCTTGACAAAGCCAAAGAAAGCAAGTTGCATCAGGTCATGGCGCGTGCAGATAAAAACATCACGCCTCTGAATTTGAAGGATCATACCTTCAACCCAGTAGAAACGCTCCCAACCACAGAACAAACAATCGAGCAGTGGAAGGCTAAGCTTCTTCATGGTCGGTACATTTAAAGACTCCATGAAGACTCAGAAATAGATAATTAAGCTTCGCAATCATGGTTGCACTCAGGAGGTTTATTCGTTGAAACAGAAGGGTTCATAGCTGCCATTCACGATCAAGTAGTTCCGACAAAATCGTATCAAAAACGGATAATGAAAGTACGGGTCGACAACGTCATGTGTTGTATTTGCGGAGCGAAAGAGAAAACCCTCGACCATGTATTAGGTCTATGTTCCAACTTGGCACCAAAGCAATACCTTGAGCGGCATAATTCTGTGGCAAAGATAATTTATCAAGAACTGGCTAAAGAACACCTCAACGAAACGGACATGAAATCTTACTATGAGTTCGAACCTCCCCAGGTGAAAGAAAATGATATACAGGGTGGCCCAGACCTACCGCACCAGGCCTTTTTTTCGGTTAATTTGGGTCGCTTGAAGTCCAGGATCGCGGGGATGAATAGGGAATCGACCCCGAGGAATCCGAATTTCATGGTCCCAGAGCCCCCCTGGCGCCCCTTGGGGGCTAAAAGGGGGGTCCGTACTACATTTTGAAATTATTTCATCGGAATCAGAACGTACGGAAATTTTTAACTTAAATCGACACAAAGAAATCCAAAATCGGCCCATCCGTGTCCAAAATACGGGCCCCTAAAGGCGGGAGACGGAGCCCCCTTCCAAAAAAATCCAAGTTCGTCAAATTGACGTAGAGACTCGGAAAAAATGTGTATCCATGGGTAATCGACCCCAAGGAATCCGAATTTGAGGGTCCCGTTGTCCTCTCAGACATAGTGCTCACGTTGAAGGATACCAAAATTGCCTTTATAATTGACGTCGCTGTGCCGTCGGCAGTTAATACCCAGAGCGCTTACGCTGAGAAGATAAGCAAGTACATGCCTTTGGCAGACGAAATCAAGTGCCTCTGGAAATTGGACAAAGTAATAATTGTGCCAATTATTATTGGAGCAACAGGGGAGATTCCTGTGAAGTTGTTTGATAGTCTTAGGAAGATCAACCTTAGAGAGATGCTGTACCAACAATTACAGAAAGCAGCTTTGCTAGGGAACTGCAGGATTGTAAGGCGAGTTCTGGGTGATGGTCAGTTACAACTATCCGAAAAATTAACCTGCATTTCAACTTCAACTTTTAAATTTTTAACTTTAATCTTAAAGTTTTAACTCCAGTTTTAAGTTTTTTATCCCAATGATAAAGTTTTAATCCCAATTTTCAATATTTCACTCCTATTTTAAATTTTTAATCCCAATTTCAAATTTTTAACTTCAATTTTAAATTTAACTCTCCTTGACTCTCCTTTGCATTGAATTGCCGGCGGAGGACTAAATATCTGCCGGCCTCGAGCCGTGAATTGAGATGCGAGAACATAATAATACCAAAAATTCGAGTTCCCCGTCGGAAAGGACTATCGTTGGCCAAGTTTCACAAAAATCCGTCGAAAAATACCCCCTAAAACCTGAAATTTCGTCTATAATGCTGTGACGTCACGCGACAGTACGCGACAGGATTGAACCTGTTCAGCGCGGTTAGCGTAAACAACCGCGTATCCCCAATGCATTAGTATAGGGAGAAACAACTTTTCTTTGTCTTCGGCCTCAGCGGCATTTTTTCTAAATTTGATTTTTCAGGCATGTAGAGGTGGTTCTTAGCCTCATTTTTGCCAAGTTTGAAGGAAATTGCTCCGACAGTTTTTTTGTTAAGTGTTGATGAAATCTCGGTACAGTAGCTTTATATGATTAACTAATCGTGATTAGCTCGCTGACACGTCTAGCCGGGGAGTGCCCCTGGACCCCAGTTCGACGCCCGTGCTTCGCGACGAACTTGCGACTCGCTCCGCGAGCCGCCACCGCCCCGCACAGTTTTTAACATTGATGAGGAGACAACATCTTTGTCTTAATCTTCTTTTTCACCAAGTTTTACAGAAATTGATGTTCTAGGAGTCCAGACCGCGTTTTCGTGCGGGGCCACCATCTTGGATTTGGAAATGTTGAAAATCTGGCCAAAAATGCGAGTTTTCCGTCGAAATACACCTCCTAATACCGAATTTCACAAAAATCGATGGATCGGAAGCCGAGATAACAATTTAGACCACGTTCGCCATTTTTGAATTTTGAAAATCGGACCTAAAATTCTAATTTCCCGTCGAAAAATACCCCTGGATACCGAGTTTCACGAAAATCGATATAACAGGAGCCGACTTAGCATTTTAGGCCACGGCTGCCATCTTGGATTTTGAGATTTTGAAAATCCGACTAAAAATTCGAGATCTCCCGAGAAAAATACCCCCGCTTACCATTTTCCACAAACATTCGTCGAAAAATACCTCCTAAAACCTTAAATTTCGTCTATAAGGCAGTGACGTCACGCAACAGGATTGAACCTGTTCGGCGCGATGCGCGTAAACAACCGCGTATCTCCAATGTAATACTATATGGAGAAATGACTTTTCGCTCTTGCGGGCATCCGAGGCAGCGGATTTGAATGGGAATAATTTTAATCAACTCCTCATTACAATAGCTAAGCGTGTACCAATTTTAAAGGAAATCGCTTCGGCCAATTTTTATCTAGGGGGGGCAGAGTGAGTGGGAACAGCAGCTTTACATAGAGTAATACATATAGAGTAATGTATTGTGCGTCGAAAATGCTCTAGTGGATACCCAGGTGTAAAATGCTACGCGCAGTAACAGATAATTATTTTTTTTCTGTTGCAGGAGGTTACAAGTTCGCGCAGACGACAAGGAGCGATTATCGAAAGTATGCACCACCATGGAAAAGGTGTTTATTCGGGAACATTTTCAGGTTTGTCAAATACTCATTCAAGTCCGACCAATGGCTTAGAGCTAACATACATGGTTCGTTTGACCTGTAAATGTAGTTGAAACGTACTTAATTTTCTTAAACCAGTCTAAATTTATCAACGTAACAAGCCATATCAATCAAAAAAACCCTGCCGCCCAGCTTTTTTGTAGTCTGCGCATTTATCGCAGCATGCGTGTATTTTCCGGAGAGTTTTCACATTTAATATTCCATCATTGAGACACGGGTCGATCATCAATTTCAGTTCAAAATATTCATTATTTCTCGAGTTTCCACGCAACCAATGCCCCCGCCCCCCCCCCCGCCCATTAAAATATATATGGCCGCTTGCACAAACTTGTGAGCTGATTTGACTGAAATATTATAGGAAACTAGTCCTAGTAGGCTTCTAACTACCATTTAAATCCTAGCTTAAAATATTAATTTTTCCGTGAGTTTTAGCGCGACTCTCCTCCCCCTTCTTACCCATAAAAACTGCTAACTGTCTTTTAGACGGGAATCGTAAGCCGATTTTGATAAAATTCGATCGGAAACCAGTATTGGTGCATCTACCAACAAAATTTCAGCTCAAAATATTAATTTTCACTCGAGTTATCGCGTAGACAAAATTAACTCCTCCCCCATGTTGGCCCCTTGCGGTACTAAAACTAATTAACGTATTCCAATTTTGTCTTAACAATTAAAAGGCACTGACTACACACGCTGAAAGTTTTGTTTCAAGAAACTCAGAAATTAACCGGCGCTTTAAGCTCAGAAAATTGAAAAAAGCTCACGTTCGTCGGTTGAAGTACATGAGTAATTCTCTACTCTTTTGACTATTCCTGTCACACATATCAATCAACAGAGTTCAGGTAAATTATTTTTAATGCAGAATAACTTTCTACGTCAGACGCATACTCGGAAAACATCATAGAACTAAACCTCTGTTTCCTAGCAGGCAGCAGAGAAGGGCAGAAAATCTCAACTCAGTCCGTATCACACAACTGAGGTTCCGCAACTCAAACGGCTATAGGATGCAGGAAACCGAAGCCAACCTACTTAAATTTAACATTTTTAGAATGTATGGACCTTCCACTTTGTATTTATTTAGTTTGTCCTAAGAATACTGACAATATTCCCGTCGTGAGACGAGGCAGAAGGCTTGTCCAGGGACGAGTTCTATAGGACGCCGTTCTGTTGTGAGCGGGTGATTGCAGCGCATTCTCGTGTACTCGCGTAGGACCCTAGTAAACTCTGAGGATCCTTCCCCCCGAACCTTGACTCATCCATCGCCCGCTCCAAAAGTGAGGTTAAGCCGATTATTGAAAAATGTCACAAAATGCGGCTGAATCAAAGACATAAAGACGGAGGGCTAAAAGCAAAAAGTGAAGCTTCTTTTCAACCACCTCTACTATTGGCTAGAGGATTGGCGGGGAAATCGGGACAAGTTTGAAATTCAAATGTAGGGCGGGAACTAAATAAAATTGCGGAAACAAAGTATTCTAGGTTGATTTTTGCCCAAATTCACTTACCCACTCATATTTTTTTAACTTTAGTTTAGTTTTGGTCCGTCGTCGACCGATTAATTTCATTTGGGAGTAACGGTCATCTAGCACTGTAACGGCCTGTTTGAACTAGTTTGAACCTGCAGAACTACCATGAGCAGAAGAAAAACTAACTTTATCTGAGATTACTGCCTGTTACTGAGCAAAAGTAGGTGTATTATATTAGGACGCAGACCGAACTTTCTTAATATAATCGTTTTAGGCATTTAAAACACGTTTAGAAGAAGAAATAAGTAAAAATCAAGAGGACAAGTTCGAATCAAATTTCCGTTTGCCGCCATGGATTCCCGCGCTCATTTACACACTCACACAAGCACCCAGCGCCAAACCAGGCTTCACTTTTTTCCCGTGCTTTTAGATACGAGCACTCCGTCTTTATGTCTTTGGGCTGAATTCTTGAAAAATAAGTATATTTTTGGCGTTTTCCGACCCCTTTCGCCACGGGCGGGCCTGGTGCACTGAATGTGGAGGTGAAAAATTCGATTTTTGGCAGATATACGTGATCCTACGGATTTTTGTGAAGTCCAACAACTGGACTGCATTTTGAAATTTGGACCTATAAATTCTGGCTCATCTGAAAAAACACTTATGTGCATAGGGAAACTTATGGCACATACGTTGTTTTTAAACCGGGCTGGAATTTATAGGTCCAAATTGCAAAATGCAGTCCAACTGATAATAGCAGTGAGTGGCGAGGGTCCTTCGCGAGATAGCAGCACTAGTACCTGCTCATGAATTTTACATTGGCTCTTACGGGAGTCCAGGGTCCTATAGAACTAGTCCCTGGCTTGTCACAAGGGTTTCATTTTAACTCGGTCCCCCTACTTGGAGACTTGGAGCCACTAGAGTACCTTTATAGACAGAGTATGGCCATTTCTTTTCCGGTTTTTCATTGGTCGCGTGAAAATAGGCTGATACGATGTTCTTACGGCCGTAAATAAACAAACAAGATGGCTGTTATCAGCAAGCAAGATTGAGGTTATGCACATCTTACATCCTCCTGTGATAAAGGTGAAAGGCGATTTAACAATGTTTTCATGTATTTTTCGTGTGCTATTCGTAGATATGCTAGTTTAAATTGTTACTGCCGCATAATTGAAATTTTTGTGAAATTTAGCTTCTTATCGATGTTAAGGTGAGCCGCCATCTTGTTTGTTTATTTACGGCCGTAAGAGCATCATGAAGCCCAGAAACTCGTTAACCAATCAAAAAGCGGAACACTTTTCCCGTAGTAAAAAGATACGAATGGCCATACTCTGTCTATAAAGGTACTCTAGGAGCCACCAGGGACGCTGTTTGTAAAAAACAAGTAGTTGTTGTTATTCAGTGTGATCCTCTTACCTCACCTAATATGTGCAATCGCCGTGATGACTGACAAGAAGGTGTTTAGGTATATTTTTTAAGTGTGAATGTTAAAATCATCCTGAACCAGCCCAACTCTGTCCCTGCATTATAATGAGGTAAACTTCAACAAAATTCCACCAGTTTTACATTTTTAACGTAACACATTTGTGTGTGTGAGAGGGTGTGTTGGGGTGTGTGTGTACGTGTGTGACAAAAAATGAATGGCACATATATTCATGATCTATGACTCAAGATCGGTGCTCCGTACACTGTCCCAGCTCCAAGTCCCACGATGAGGGAGATAGCAATAGTGGAGGTATTCCCTTCGGAAAATACACTAACAAGAAACAGGTTTAAAGAGGGGTAAAAGGTTTTGAAAGTTTTGTTTACTTGTAAAAGTTTTTTCTTTTTTTCATGAAAATCCTACAGACACCGTGATTATTCTGTGTATGATTTGTTTTTTATTTCTTCTGCGAATTCGACTTAGAATTGACCATCCGCTTTTTTCAGGGACACTAAATCCAGCTCTACAAGATCGGTTTGGGCGGCCAAAAAGAGACATTAGTACAATCATCCACATCCTGAACGACCTGCTCTGTGCGACGCCGCAGTATCGTGCCTCTCGGAGTAGCAGTTCTTCTTTCTCCTCTTGTGCCTCCCCTTCTGCTTCCGCAGAGCCAACGGCTGCTGTAGGCTCCCCTTCTGCCTATGTCAAGACCTTTGCCCCCACCTCCACTCGCACAGATTCCTCTATCCCTTCAACAGTCATCACAGACCCAACTGGTAAGTGTAAAGGCTTAATCACCAAAAAAGAGGAAAAATCTCATCGAGAATATGAAACCTTATCACCAAATTATGTAGGTAATGTATTATGTAAAAATGAAAGTACCCGGTAAAATTTATCACCTTAATTCATATTAAGCGAAGTTATCATAATGTAACTCGTTCATCAGAACGCATAGCGCAGATTCCCGCCGTTACATGTACACAATATCAGCGTATTATGTAAAAATGAAAGTACCCGGTAAAATTTATCACCTTAATTCATATTAAGCAAAGTTATCATAATGTAACTCCTTCATCAGAACGCATAGCGCAGATTCCCGCCGTTACGTGTACACAATACCAGCAATTTTAATCCTAAGAATGGGCATTTTTCTATGCAGGCATGTCTCTGCGCTTGCGCATTCCCTTCAAAAAAGTTTGTTTTCATTGACTCACCAGGTTTTGGTTGTATTGGATGACGAAATTTTATTTTCTCACTTTGTTGCTCTTGGCGCTTAGCTTATTATGCGTCACACCTTAATATGCTGAAGTTCTCGGAATTTACTTGTGAATTTAGCATCCTGATTTTTGCCCCATTTTTACTAAAGCTGTCTCTTTTATCGCCATAACGATGTGCTTAAACAGCACTCTGATAGCAGTGATAGCTAAGCTATCCTGCAGCAACATATGGAGGTTAATAGATTGAAATTTTAATTCACATGGTGCTAATGCTGTCAAGACAAAATTACACTCCAGGCACAGTCAAAGAACACTTTGATTAATAAAAAGACTGGGTGATTATTAAGGCAGTTGCACAGACCAAACCCAAGGACATGCCCAATCCAAGAAGCAGGCTTAGAAACTCGGCGATTCAGTTTCTCACTGCAAGAGGTGGAACTATCGAAAGTTAGTCAAAAACGACCCACATTCGAGCACACCTACTTTCTCTGGCCCAATGGGAAACTCTTACATCGACCTTTTAATTGCTTCCTCATCGATTCAAAATCGTATCACCGACTTAATAACCCACACCGAAGAAAATATGGGTTTTCATAATTCTATCACCTTCAAAATCAGCTCTGAATCAAACAGTCCAAACCCACCTCGCTCCAGGGAAGATTCTCACCAAGGATGGTGGCTCAAGAAGGAGAAATTCCAAGATTTCACCACCTATACTAAGCAAGCTGTAAAAAACGCAACCATCAACACTGTTCTTACTGCTCTTACTTGTCTGCAAATAATCACTCAAGCTTGTGACAAGACTTTCAAAATAAAAAACATCCATAACAGGAAAAAATCCATCCCTTGGTGGAATGATGACATACATCAACTCAAAAAAAAATGTTCGTCGACCAGGAGACTTATCACCCGAACAAAAAATAAAGAAGACAGAGATCGCCTTTTCAAAGAGCTCAGTTCGGACAAAAGGAATTTACGCTTTGAGATTAAAAACGCAAAGAGACAACTATGGACTGGCTGGATAAACGAGCTAGATAAAGACATTTGGGGTCGTGCATACAAAATCAGGAAAAGAAAGCTAAAATCTCCCCCTACCCACGACCAAGCATCCCTTTCAGACCAGGAAGTTATAGCCGCCATCGATCAATTATTTCCAACTCATGAAAAATGTAACTGGCCACTTTTCGTACAAGAAGATTTCCCTGATATCACTATCGAAGAACTAAACAGAGCCCTCTCACGGTGCGCTTGAACTCACTTTAAATGTGACTTGAATGTACATCAAAAATTCAAGTTGGAGGTTGTAGTGGGGTACTCCCTGATGGGTTTTTGGGCAATTTCGAAATAGGTTGTCGGAGCTCCTCGAAAAATAATCGCATTTTTGTGGTGTTTTAGGGGTAAAATAGCAAAATTGGCCTTGGGACGACAAATTAAACTCTCCCTCATCCTTGCCCTGACCGATCTGAATTTATAGTATGTTTTCACCTGGTATAAGATGTGACTTTTCTGAAATTTTCATGCCCATACACAATTTTTTGCCCCCGCAGCAGCGTTGCCAAGTTGCGGACTCCTAAATATCGAATTTGATGATAAAATGAAGGTTTCGAAGTGTGATTTCCATTCAAATTCAAAAATTCAAATCGTAGGTTGTAGTAGGGTACTGCCTGATGGGTTTTTGGCCGATTTCGAAATAGAGTGTTTGAGATTTTTGAAAAATAATTGAATTTTTGCGGTTTTTTAAGGGTAAAATAGCACACTGGGCACGGGGCGGCAAATTAAACCTCTTCTCTCTCATCCTTGCCGTGACCGATCTGAACTTGTAGTATGTATGAACCTGGTATAAGATGTGACTTTTCTGAAATTTTCATTCCCATACAAAATTTTTTGCCCCCCGCGGCAGCGTTGCCAAGTTGCGGACTCAATAATATCGAATTTGATGATAAAATGAAGGTTTCGAAGTGTGATTTCCTCCAAAATTTCACGAAAAATGTGCAATCTGAAAGTTTTCGATAAGAAAAAGCATATTTGAACAATTTAGAGTTGCAGCGTTGCCAGCTTCACGATTTAAAATTTATCAAAATGCTCTGAATCGCGTTGCAACCTCAAGGTCTGGATTGTTATTTCATTCAGAATTGGTGAAAATTGGAAAAATGGCTCACCAGAAGATTTGGAGATGTGAACTTCTTTTTAACTTAGGCTCTAACTGGACACGGCGCTTTTAATAATTACCTCCATCGAATGAAAATATCATCATCCCCCTTTTGCCCGTACTGCCCAGATGCTCTTGACACTCCGGAACACTCTCTGTTCACGTGTGGAAAATTTACTTCTGAAAGAGACCTTTTAGAGACAGAAATAAAAAAGACATTTACCATCGATAATTTTCAAAATTGTTTATTAGAATCTAAAGATAGTTGGTTTAAAACGGAAACACCCGTACATACATAAAAACAGTCCTTAGCAACAAAAAAGAAATGATAGACAAACAAATCTATACCAATGCATGCCAACAGGCGGATTCCGGTGTCGCAAACCTAAACCCCCGCTGATTTCCAGTAACTCTTTTTTACTGTTTCTAATTTCCAGCTAAATTAGCTCTCAAACTATATCATAGTCCTATATTATTATTGTTCTCTAAATCCTTATTTACTCACTTTCATTGTAAGTGTAATTTTGTAATTTTGTAACTATTCTCAAGCGACAATAAAAAAAAAAAAAAACTATCGAAAGTACCACTTACGTTAAGTTGAAGGGGTGAATTACTGATTTAGAGAGTACTAAATCATTTTAGGATATTTTTGAAGAGATTTAAAGGAAGGTATTGGAGAATTTTCTTCTTTCAAATTGAGTGTAAACAATCTGCCATTGTATGAAAGCTTAACAGTAAACAGGATTGCCTACCAGAAAGTGATACACCAAATCGACTCGGAGTTCCTAATCAGTCATTTGAGTATGTTTTCGAAATGAAATTCACGAAGATTTCAAGATTCAAAATTGGAAATCAAGCTCCAAACAATTAACCCCTCAAACTAATTGAGCCATTCACTTCAAGTTGGAAATAAATGAAACAGATTCTTGAATAACTCATAGAGAGAAGAGTATTTTGTTTAAAATAGTTTTTAGTTCTAGAATCGAATGGTAGTATCGATGTATTGAATTGTTCGCGAAGGAAAGTATTGATTAAGTCTCGAAAATTCCGTGTCAATACACACTCACACAGAAACCTTCTTCTGAGAAATCTTATGAAAATTCTTTCATACATCAAAAACATATTCAAGTCATGAAACTTCTCATTTAAATCCAGTTAAAACATGGCGGACCCTACTGCTTTTTCGATATTTTCGAAACTTTTGCATTACACTAACAGCTCGACCGAAAAGAAAGTTCTCTCCAGTTGGTAACTGGGAGAACAAAACTGTGGTTGCCTCTGATGATTCATTATACAGGGTGGGCATAAAGTAACTGAAAAGTGTCTATAACTTTGGAACAAAGAGAGATAATAGGGTTCCGGTTTGGACCATTGTTCATTGTGGCAAGGGGGTAACTTTTTCAGGGGGGCTCATTAATGGGGCCTCCCAAGGGAGAGGGGGGGGGGCAATTCGAGATTTTCAAATGGCAACCCCCCTTTTTGTGATACATTGTTAGAAAGAGAATAAAAAACAAGAATGTTCGCGCAAACCGTAGATCAATCCGACTTTACGTTCCAGAGTTATTCGCGATTAAAGTTCAATGGACCACTAGACAAGGTACGAATTTAAGCAATCTGATACATGATTCCTAACCAGAATTTCACGTAGAACACGATTCGCACAACGAAAATTACTGAAACTAACTCCTAAAGAAGATATTAACGTTTTTATTTCACATTGGTTACGAAGAATTTGAACTGCCCGCTCACAAGAAACTCAAAGCTCTACGTGAGTCAAATTGCGCACTACAACGGTTTCAGCAAGCTTCTCAATCGAGCAATGTTCATTTCCCACCATGTGTTGTTCAAACTATTAGCAATTTGCTATAGCTAAGCCAAAGCGTCAAGATTGAGGTTGCCAGATTTTTATATCGCAGAGACTGTCATGATAACGTTTAGCGTGCGATGTGAGTCACGTAGAGCATTGAGTTTTCATGAGCGGGTGGTTTGAACTCACGCATCAAGAATAATTTAATATCTTCGTAAGGAGTTGTTTTCGGTAATTTTCGTTGTGCGTATCGTGTTCTACGTGAAATTTTGGTTAAGAAACATGTATCAGAATGCTGAAATTCGTACCTTGTCTAGTGGTCCATTTGGATTAATTTTCAGAAATTGATAAGTCCTGTTAGAAAAGTCGCAAAGAGGCCATCTGTTAAAATTCGTAGCACTACTATTTCATTCATGGCTACGGTATTGGAGTACGTGCCTCTCATCAGTTAGCGGGGAGAG